GGATAAAAGCATTAATAATGTTGTAATAGTCTAGGTCAACTTTTGTAACTCATTTTGAAGTAATAAAGAGGAATTATGTGAATATCATGTGAATTATATGCTTATTTGTTTAATTATTATGATTTAATTAATTAATAACGAAAATAAGCATTTAAAATAAATATTAGAAAAATCCGATATTTTTTAAGAAATTTTTAGTGGCCGAAACAAGGATTCCGGAGATATAAAGAACGCCGAAATCCGAGTTATAACGAAGAAGTTATGACCTGTCGAAGTTTCGCGACGGAACCGGTACGACACCGGGAAGCGTAAAAAGTGAATTTACGATAAAGTGCTTTTTATCCTTAACAATCTAAGCAAAATTCATAGTATTCGTTAAACTGAGAATTTTGATAAAAAGAACGTCCAAATCTGACTTCGTATGAGGATGTTGTGATTTTTCTAAGTTTTAACTTAGCAGTAGACAGCTAAATACTCGAATTTAAGATCGAGCGATATTTAGCCGACACAACCTAAACTAGAATCGAAGGTCTTGTCAATAGTAGTACAACGGTAAAAAGACTGATGAAAACAGACGTCAGATGAAGAAGTTATGAATTTTTAACGGATTTTCCTGTCTCGGTCTGTTAAAAATAATAATATTAAAATTAAAGTCAAAATTAGCCAACGAAGTCTAAAAAAAAGTTGTAGAGCGTAATTTTAGCTACGCGTTCATATAAAGAACGTCAAAAACGGAGCTCGTATGCGAAAGTTATGGATTTTAGAAGTTCGGGGCTCAAAATTCGAAAAATTCGCATGAACAGTAGTCGGCCACATCACCTCGCCTCGCGTACCGAACCTGCTGCGTCATCGAAGATGTGGCCGAATACGGATCCAACGCGTGTCGCAATTCCCTCGGACCAAAGTCCCGGCCAATCAGAAGCAGCCTCGTAGCATCGAGTGTCCGAATCTCGCAGGGGCCACGTCCGAGCCTCGTAGTCGCCTCCGTGTCTCGCCCCCGCTGCTGCCACGCGCCTCGCTCCTTCGCCTGCCACATCCTCCCTCCGTGTCCGAACCTCTCAAGCACAACGTGGAGCATTCTCAACCACAAAACCCTCGGTCTCGCACCCTATATAAAGGGGGAAGGTGGGGGGGGGGGGGGCTGCCAGCCTTCCCGAGTACTTCTGGAGATTTGACATTTTTCACCCCTAAACTTATATTTTGACTATTTTGACTTCCCCCGAAGCCCCGGTATCATTTTTAAAGCCCAGAATACATCCCAAAGTGCCCAAAAACCCGGAAAATTTTATCTTTTCGGTTTTAAAGCTCCAACCCTCGCAGAGCCCGGTTTCTCAATAAAACTCCTGGTTTTATCAGATACGATCATTTTAAGGAACGAATTGTTGTCCAATTATCATCAAATCAAGTGAGTGTATAGTCACTTTCATCTTACACATAGATATGAAGTATTTTCTATAAAATACGTGTTATGTGTAATTATATTTATTGTTTATTTGAGATGATTGTTGAATACAATGTTTTATACAAGTTATAAATTGTATATGTATTTTATCTACAAATATGTTGAGTAAAACCTGGGTAGACGAAACAGTTGATGTGTGTTAAAATAATGAGAGGCCTCGATGTTGTTGTTGTTCCAGTCATCTAGCGGAGTATGGATGACGACCACGGACTTTTCTAGACAGTCTAGTGGAACGCTAGCAGGCTCGCAACTTGTAGGTGTTTGTGGGCTTGATGTTCACCGGTGTACTCCATCCCACTCATGGTTGCCTTACGGACATATATGGATGAGGAATCCCCTTAGCAGTAAAGTCCATCCCGATGATAAAATCCTTAGACTAGGTCCCTTGTATAGGTGTTTAAGGACGTAAAGTGAGGATAACGGGAATGGGTAAACAGGGTTATTGTTGGTTTGATAAAATTAATAAATTTATTGTTGATCGATGAAATTAATAAATTTATTATTATTTGTGGGTTGAAAACCCTATATGCTCACCAGGCTCCCAAGCCTGACCCACTCAGTTTTATGTATTACAGGTAGTGGCGCTCGAGCATAGTTGTGATGTGTTGGGATGAGGGATTACGGATATAGGCCTGTAAATATGAAATAATGTAGTAAGGCTTATATTGTATTGTTTATACTTATGTACTGTATCGAACATGACATCCCGAGTCTTTTAATGAAATACATTTCTAAGGAAATGCTTTTGATAAATCTTTATCATATTATTGTTTTGGGATAAATTCCGCAATTCTTTTATTAAAAGGTTACTCTGATTTTGAAATAAAGTATAAACAAAACCGGTATTTTCTGGCCGTGAAATTGGGGATGTCACAGAGAACTCGTCGAGTCATTGCTAAACTCGACGAGTAGAAGCGTGAAGAAGGGCAGATGAAGGGTAGGGACTCAACGAGTTGAAGGCCCAACTCAGCGAGTCCGGTCAACTGGAAGTTGACTTTGACTTTGGCTTTGACTTGGTCAGGGGTAAAAGTCATTTTACCCTAAGAACAGTTATCAATGTCTGACTAAGTGTTTTATGGGAATTATAGCCGGAGGATCACCAGAGCAGCAGTCGGACATCTGTCGATCAACTTTTCAGCAGTCAGCCTTACAATGTGAGTTACCTTCCAGTAGGGGTGGGTCTACGACACCAATGCCGGCCCACCAGTAGGTGATTATGGGTGAGATGTTTATCTTTGTGATAATTGTCTGGTTGCTATATATGTGCTGAGTATGTGTTAGTAGTAGTAGGGCGTGCTAGCCCCTGGTTACCGGTTGAAAGATACTGAAGATGATTACCGGTTGAAAGATATCGAAGGGGTGGACAAAACCCACGCATGTATAGTTGTATGCATATGATATGTCTTTATGTAACTTAGTATGCCTATGTATTGGGTTGTAGTGGTGGAAAATTCAATATCATAACCCTTCTATTGGGATGTAGTGGTGGAAAATTCAATAAAGAAACAGTAGGTTGTGATGTTGGTTCGTCGGAGTTGAATGACCAAAAAAAGAAAGGATGATAAAGACGTCGATTCACTAAAGATAGAAAGGAAATAGAACTTGAGGATGATAAGAGATGAGATGGTGACTGGTAGGATCCAATTTAAATTTCTCAAATGTGGTTTCATGTTTAAGGTGAGGAGATACCCATATGTGAGGTCTATTAATTTTTTTTAATATATAAAAAATAAATACATAAATAAGAAAATAAATTAAAAATGGCACAATGGTCTTTTGAGGTAAGACATTGACTACACGTACAACTAAAATTTACAATAGAGATCATCCAAGTTAAAAAATAAGTTAGGAACTAAACCCACAAATTACCCAAACCACATGGACCATTCATGTAGTTTACTCTTACATTTTCTGTTTATTCACATCTACGTAACTATCTTTTTTTGTACATATCTAGTAACGAATTTTTTGGAAGTGTTTACATATGACCGGATGTAACATGTTACAACCGGTTACAATGGTTATATGTGAACACTTCCAAAAAATTCGTTACCTAAAATTATAAAAAAAATAATAATAATAATTACCTAAACGTAAACAAATCGAAAAATTAATTATCTTAACAAGTCTATCTGTAAAAAAAATTGCTATTAACAGTTAAGGACCAAGTTAATTAGAAAATAACCAAGTCCCCGTTACATTTTGAATCTTAAAAAAATTTAGTCTTACAATTAACCTTGACCCATTTGGAAAAGATAAAATAAAATAACGAATTAAAAATATGGAAAAAAACTTAGAGGAATCGTGTGATGCGAAAAGCTGTATAAGTTTCCATGCAGTGTGAACATAAATTCCCTTTATTTACAGGGACTATGTTGTACCTTATACATTGTAGCACCAAAAGTGTAGTTCGGTAGTTAATGAGGGACTCAAAATGAAAAATAAATATTAAAAGCCCTTGACCTCATCGATACAACAAGGCTAGTGTGACGATGTTGACTGCGTATGCAAAACCCAGCAAGCTACAATGGCGTCATTATCTGCGTCACCTCAACTACTTCATCTTCATCTCCTTGTTCACAATCCGACAACAGTTTACAGCGAAACCTCTGCGAAATTTCCTGCTTTTCACACTCTAGCTAATTGCTAGACTTTTGAAGCATCTTTCGATTCATCAACTTCAACAAATATTCACCGTTTTTTCTCATTAATTTCGTTTTGTGATTGATTTCTCGTTCAAGGAGTTTGTCATTTTTGGGTCTATTTCTAGGTCCTTGAACACGGATTTGATGTTGTGAGTTGTTCTTGGAAACTGATTTCATCTGGGTTTAATTATGTGACCGAGTCCTCGATCTGGGCATTCGTCATTTGGAGTTTACTGCGAACCTTTGATGAGGGCTTTAATTTTGCTGCTTGAAATTAAACTCTTGATTTCATCAGGGTTTGTTCTGTGATTGATATTTCGGTCCAGGGTTCATCATTTTGGAGTTATTTTAGGTTTTATTATGATGGATTTGACGTTGCGTGCTCCAGTTGAAACCTGAATTCATCTTGGTTTGTTATCTGATCGATTGCTCGATCTGGGCATTTCGTCGTTTTCGGTTTCTTTTTGGTTTATGATCATGAATTTAATGTTCGGGGCTGCAATTGAAATCAAGTGAAAAGGATTCATCTGGGTTTTGTCAGAGATTACTCGTTCATTCCGAATCATTCAAGTTTTTGATGATCAAGATAAACTGAACTCCTTTGAGGGGTTTTAGTTCCTGTAGTTCACCATTTCCCCTTCTGCAATTAGGTACAGGACAACTTGCATAGCATCAGGTACAAATCATTATAGCTAGATTTTGCATTTCTCTCTCTTATCTGCAATCGAATAATGATGACGCCATTAGTGGAGATATTGATTCATCATCATCATCATCATCTACCATGAAAGATCAGATTTCTCAAGAAATCTTGACCCAAATCTTTCAGATGCATACCCCCAATTCCTGATTCCGAATTGGGTTTTTCAAATTACGAAGTTTTTGTTCGATCAATGGCAAATTATTCTGAACCATCATCATCCTTAAGCTTTACTTCACCTTCTCATGTCTCCAATGGCTCTAATGGCTACAATATATCTTCTTCTTCAATACCTGAAACACGAACAAATCTTGAAATCATCAGCTTAAACAAACTCAGTAGCCACTTAGAAAAACTCTTGATCCAAACCGACTCCAATTCCAATTCCGATTTCAATTCAAGCTACAGTGATGCAGTAATTGTAGTAGAAGGCAATCATGTGTGCATTCATCGGTGTATTTTAGCAGCTAGAAGTAAGTTTTTCTGCAATTTGTTTAACGAAAGTAAGGATTCCGTTGAAGAAGATGGGAAATCGAAGTACATTATGAGTGAAATTTTACCATTTGGGAATGTTGGATATGATGCATTTCTCGTGTTCTTGAATTATCTGTATACTGGAAAAATGAAGTCTTCTCCACCAGAGGTTTCAACATGCATCCATGGTGAATGTCCACATGATGCTTGTAGACCAGCTATAGCGTTTGCTGTTGAATTGATGTATGCTTCAGTCATTTTTCAGGTCCCCGAATTAGTTTCTCTTTTTCAGGTATGTTTGTTCTTCGCCTATTTTGTATTATTTGTGTCCTACATTCATTTCTTTCTACGACTTTATGCAAAATCATTTTCTATATGAAATGTAGCGACGACTTCTTAACTTCATCGAAAAGGCGTTCGTAGAAGACGTGATCCCAATACTTCTAGTAGCATTCCACTGCGAGTTAACTCACATCCTAACTCAATGCATCCACCGAGTCGCCCGGTCAGACCTCGACGACATCACCCTCGAGAAATCCCTCCCGCCCGAAGCCACCCGAGACGTAAAATCCCTTCGCAACACCCTACCCGAATCCGCCGCCCGAGAACCAAAATCCGAAGAAGACGCATTACGAGAAAAACGAATCCGACAAATACACAAAGCATTAGATTCGGATGATGTCGAGTTGGTCAAACTTCTACTGACCGAGTCAAACATAACCCTAGACGACGCCCACGGGTTACACTACGCGGTTTCATACTGTGACCCTAAAGTAGTGAAAGAAGTGATAGATTTAGATCAAGCCGATGTGAACCGTCGAAATGCCCGAGGGTACACCGTATTGCATGTGGCGGCGATGCGGAAAGAACCGTCTATTATTGTTTGTCTTTTGAGTAAACAAGTATCGGTTTTTGAAACGACGCGCGATGGGCAAAACGCGCTTGGGATTTGCAAGCAGTTGACACGGCCGAAAGATTATAACACGAAAACGGAGCACGGGCAAGAGACGAATAAGGATCGGTTGTGTATTGAAGTTTTGGAAAGGGAAATGATTAGGAATACAATGGGGAAAGATGTGATTGTTTCGTCTTCGGATATGACCGAAGATTTGCACATGAAGTTGTTGCATTTGGAAAACCGAGGTATGTTGTGTTTAAAACCGGATATTTTTTAACATTCCTAGTTTTTTGTATGTACTTTCTTGTGTGAAATTACAATTGTACCCTTTCGGGCGGTGATTTCTGTTCCTTTTTTTTGTTTTGCAGTCGCGTTTGCACGATTGTTGTTTCCATCCGAAGCAAAACTAGCAATGGAGATCGCCAATGCACAAACGACATCTGCTTATCCCGGTTTATTGGCAACGAAAGGCTCAAACGGGAACTTAAGGGAGATGGATTTGAACGAGACGCCATCCATTCAAAAACAAAGACTCATCTCACGAATGGAAGCTCTCTTGAAAACAGGTACATATATAAGATAGCTTATTGGATTAAGACATGTGTCTTTATAAAGTCCATTAAGTTAAAAAGAAACAATACGTATTACTAATTGAGATCATTTTATTTGTGGATGTAGTGGAGACGGGTCGACGTTTCTTTCCTCATTGCTCAGAAGTTCTTGACAAGTTCATGTTGGATGATTTGCCCGATTTGTATTTTCTTGAAAAGGGGACACCGGAAGAACAAGTGATAAAACGTTCACGATTTGTGGAGCTCAAAGAGGATGTTCAAAGAGCATTCACCAAGGACAAAGCCGAGCTACCGAGCATTTTGACACACAGTATAAAGAACCGAGCCCGGAAATACTCGTAAAATTTGGTTTTTTTTTTTTAGAATGAAGTTTTTGTTGAAAAATTTTAGTTAAAAAGTTGTAAAAAGCTCGATCAAATACGAAGAAATATTATATTATTATATATATAATAATATAGACAAAATTGCAAGAATGGTCCCTGTGGTTAGATCGAAATTGCCACTTTGGGCCAAACTGGTTTGGACGAGCACTTATGGTCCAAAAGTTTTCATTTTCTTGCCACTTTGATCCATTTTACTTTAATTTTTTTGATAATGATCATTTTGCCCTTTCTTTTTTACCTTTTCAGTTTTTTTTTATTTATTCAAATACTTTTATTAAAAGAAAAAGAAAAATGAAAATACATTACTCTCTCTCTCTCTCTCTCCCCTAAAGTCTTCTTCCACCTCTGTGTTCTATCGTTCTTCTTGTTTTCTTTAAACCCAAAAATTGAAACCTTAATTTCTTCTATAATCAACCCCCTAACCACATTGTTAGTATCTCCCGTCCTTTCCTTAACCATCCAACCCCACTGATGGTGAGAAGCACGAGTTTTCGGATTAACAACGAGGGAGCGATTTCTAAGGTAGAGGTGACCCAATCTTATGCTTCCATGGAAAATCGAATGTCTTAGGTATTCCATTTCGATCTTGTCGTCAGCTTCAGTGGTATTCATTTTTGATTAAACGATGAAGTGGGTGGAGGAAGATGGAACATCGATGGGCTGATGAACTCCAAATTCAACATCGCAACTTTTCTCCCTCTTCTTATTATCCCGATCTGATCAAGATTAGGTCAACTCCAAAAGAAAGACTCCCCGTTCTCTCCCTTCTCTTTCCTTATTTCTATTTAGTCGGACACCAAACTCGAGATCCATCTGTAAATTTTTTCTCTTCGGAAAATCATATCCAACACCTGTTGCTTAATGTTCATACTTTGGAGGCATCTAGTTATTTTCAAGGTAGTATTTAAGAGCTACACCCCCAACAACTACCTTTACCTCCTATGCTGTGAGGGACAATAATGAGGAAGAAAATCTAGTGGTGGCTGTGGAAACTACGGTGGAAGCTGGAGTGGTAGGATGGTGAGAATGGTGATGATGTAAGTTGAAACGATGATGAACATGAAATGGGGTCGGAGATGGAGAGATGGGGTCTCAATGATTTTTTTTCTTTCTAAACTCACAAAAACCAAAATCTATGTAATCTAATGTTGCGGTTATATGTTGTTTATTTGTGGAGATTTGTTTTGATTCTTGTGTGGATTTACAAATCTTAAAAATCCAAATTAGTTTGCTCCTGATTATAAATATGGGTGAGAGAGAGAGAGAGAGAGAGAGAGAGAGAAGAGAGAGAGAGAGAGAGAGAGAGAGAAAGAAAGAAAGAGAGAGATGTATTTTTATTTTTCTTTTTCTTTTAATAAAAATATTTGAATAAAAAAACTGAAAAGGTAAAAAGAAAGGGCAAAATGGTCATTATTAAATTTATTAAAGTAAAATGGATCAAAGTGGCAAGAAAATGAAAACCTTTGGACCATAAATGCTAGTCCAAACCTGTTTGGCCCAAAGTGGTAATTTTGACCTAACCATAGGGACCATTCTTACAATTTTGTCAATAATATATGTATATTAGTGTTGAAGGTAAATGTCCTTGTTTGATTAGTTTAACGGTTATTATGAAAGTAAAAGGAATGTGACGTGCAGATTGAATCTGATACACGTTATATTGATGGCTTATTTGATACGACCGAATTAAAAAATATATGAAATTTGGGTGACTATTGATATTTGTATAGTCAAATCATCTGAAAGTGTTGGCTCAAATTTTGGAAAGCGAGTTTGGGACATAAAATTAAGACGGCAGAATTGTCAAAGTACCAAAAGGGTTTTCTCCACTTTGGTGTTGATTTATATTCTGATGTTGTTTAAAAGAATAATATACAAAGAAAAGTTAGTGAAGTTTGAGATTCTTTTACATCAAGACAAACTGCATCCATCGAATGTTGTCTGCAATTTGGTGTAAAAATCTTTTTCGAACGTATTTATGTTTGATTTTATGGGTAACATTTAATGCCTTAACCAAATTTCAACAAGTAGTATATTATACTCAATATTTTTATAAAAATATCTGTTGTATTTAGTTAGATATTTGTTTTTGTCATGGAACTCACTTGAGCCCGTGTTTGTCATGTTTTTTTTACATGTTTTTGTTGCGTATTAAAAGTGAAAAATGATTAATCTAATATGGTGTATAATAACTTCTTGTTTTGGCATACATATAATGTAATTTGCTCGGTTGTGCATCACGGTGCCGGCAATGTATTTGAGGAATGATGGTTGCATGTGTTAAGCATATACGAAATATTTGGCAAACATGTAACAACTATATTGAAAGTTACATAGACCAAAATTCACATAAATGACAATAATGTAAAAGTAAATGATAAAAATGACAACAACCAAAACACAAGTACTAAAGTTGGACAAAAAGAAGTACGCCGTCATTTTAATTTAAATTATAAAAAAACATTGAAAACGTACATAAAATTTATGTCGAAATGTAAATAAATTCGAATTTATACTGATAAGTACATAAAAAATTATGTAATTAAGAATTTTTTTTACTGGAAGTAGTAAGAGTGATATTTTATAAAGTTGAGAGTTGTGTCAAAGTAATATTTTAACAAATAAAGAGGTGGAAAATACATTTTACAAAGTAGACAAAAGAAATATATATATATATATATATATATATATATATATATATATATATAATATATATATATATATATATATATATATATATATATATCCACGGATAAATACGAAAATTTAAAAATAAAGGGGTGAAAATGATATTTTAGAAAGTTGAAGGTGGAAGGAATGAAAATAATATTTTACCAAGTAAAGTGATGAAAATTATTATTTTACAAAACAAAGGGTTGCAAGTGACGAATTATACAAATTAAAGGATTAAACTTGAAGTTTATATATTAACATATTCGTAAATTGTGAATAAATATTTGTACTGTTAGCTACACTAAAACTTTCTAATACAAACGAAGTTGCTATATATATATATATATATATATATATATATATATATATATATATATATATATATATATATATATATATATATATATATAATATATATATATATATATATATATAACACTCACTTTCATAGTGATATCTATGCTTTTTAGTGTGATAACGGTTAAGGATTCAACAATGCACAATTCAATAACTTTTTGGCACCAACATAATTGAAATATGTTTCTCGTGCTCAATTCAATAACCTTTTGACACCAACATAATTCAAATATGTTTCTCCTGCTCTCCTATTTCCCAACAAAACAAGAAGTATGAAACAATGTTACAGCTCTCCTACTTCCCAACAAAACAAGAAGTATGAAACAATGTTATAGGCCATCAATGATACCATTCACACATTATTATTTCAAGCTCACCTTCACCTACCTATTGGATCAAGGCATTACATATGTCGGCCCATCTTCTCAACATCTATCCCTCCACAACTCTTCAAAATGATACCCCATATCACAAATTCTTCCAAAACAACCCTCACACACTTATCTATAGGTTTCTGAGTGTTTCGGTTATATTTACATGACCCACCTCTCATAAAATTGTCCAATGATCCACTCTACATGTTTTCCTTGGCTTCTCATCTCAACATTGCGAATATAGATGCCTAACTTAGCCAACAACAAAATCATAATTTTTGGATACATTACGTTCAACAAAACAATATTTCCATTTGGATCTATTTCACTCAACAACCCTCCTTCATACTCTTTTCTTGACACTTATGATGAACCTAACACCATATACCATCACTTCCTTCGTCACATACTACCATATGCCATGTAACATGCGAAATTATGTCACAACCAAAGCATCAAGATCGTTTAGGGACACATCTCTTGGTATAAACTCAACTTAATGGTTTTAATGCTTCCTCACTTATTCCAAGGTTATAACGATGCCTATGTTGGGTTTTCTATGAAAATATATAGTATATTAAGACAATTGGAGCATTAAAAAACAATCCTAAATGTACATGCACCATATGATCTACTTTTACTATTATTGCAACGCACTTTTAAAACTACAAATTGAACTATCAAAAGGGATATGATTACTAACCTCTCAAGTATAATCGTATATATTTGTTCCACTTGAAGATCTCGAACTCCTTGCAGTCGCTTGGAAGGACTAGCACCTAATGTAACATCCCAAAAAATTCATAGTAAAACTTTAATTTTTAAAACCATAAACAATACAAATGATTTGTTCCAAAACCAACCAAATTGATTATATCATTTAAACATCAGAGTAAAAGTCACAAATAGCAGATGCAGAAAATGTTGGGGGATGTGTGCAGTCACGTCGACCCTTCCCTTTGCAATCGGTGGTACCTAAAACCATAAACACATAACCGTAAGCACAAAGCTTCGTAATTTTTCCAAAACTACAACATACTGTACATATCACTTGGCCTTGCCCGCACATTGGGCCCAACCCATAATTATGGGCCTAGCCCTTCCTTATCAATGGGCCTAGTCCAGCATACAAATAGGTCGGGCATGTCATACAATCGGCCTAACCTAACTTACAATGGGCCCAACCCACTCATGCAAATGAGCCCATCCCTACATGGATGCTAATGGGCCCAGCCCAACATACAACGTAAGGGTCACGAAGATAGCTAACATTCTAGTTAACACATCCTAGTGGGTCAACATTGGTGCCTTCGACCCACAAATATAATGAAGAAACTCACCTGACTCACAAATCAGCTAAACCACAGGTCCACACCTCAAAGCCTCGTAATTGTTGCTATAGCACTCCTATCACATCATACAAAGTCCAAGCTTTGTCTACACACTAAAACCAACCATCTTGACCAAAACTCAACCTATGTCAAAATGCAATGGTCAAAGTCAATGGTCAATATCGATTTTAGTCAACCACCACGCTATGGCCCTCCTTAGCCACGTTGTGGCCCTCCTTAGATCGAACAGACTGGTAACTCCCAATCGCCACGCCGTGACGACCTATAGCCACTGTAACATCCCAA